CACACACATATATATACACTAAAAAGTTTGGAAGCAATGAATAGCAAGTGTCTCTCAAGCATCTGAAGGACCTGACCAACCTCCCAAAGCTCTACCCAACAGGTCCCAGGGATGCTGTCAGCAGAATTCTAGACATTTTTCCACATCTTCCGCTACAACACTTTCAAAGGGCAGCTAAAATACTGACCTACAGTACAGAAGACAGAAAGTTTGCTAAAAACACTGAAACTGCTCAAGCATGAATACCTGGCAGGTAAGTCACAGCACTGTATGTTTCAGAAAATATTTTATGGGTTTTTTTCAGCTATCCACTATAGCAAATCAACTATCCTGCACAGACACACACCCCCTAAATAACACAGCAAATAATAACAATTGCACCCCACAAATCTGAAGTAGTGATATATTCATCCTTTTTTTACAAAACAGAATGCCTCAGGCATACATAATATTGCCTGAAACAATATGAATAAAATGCAATACTGTTATTCATTTCAGTAACTCAATTATGAGGCAATGTTTATATATCTGGAAGCAGAGTTAAGATATTTTCATTGTACAGATGAACTGAAATGATGTATTATTTCCTAGAGCCATTTAAAAAATATTTAAGCATCTCCAGGATCTTGGCTTGACTATTCTTCACACCCAAGATAAACCTCCACGACTGTTTAAAAACAATGTGTGGAAAACTTTTCCTCCTAAAAGCAAAAAATAAAATATGGGTGCTACAGGAAGCCTGAATAAACATCAACACATTGGCTCAGCAGAATTAGAACAATTGCAAGGAGGCAACTGCTGGAGGAATAATGAGTTGAGGAGCACCCAGCACTTGAAGTCTGTCACATAGATATAATTAATCTGGCCAACAAGAACCATACCTAACAGAAACACTTATGAAAAGGTCTCACACAAATGAGATGCCCTCAAGGAAGTAACTTTGTGCATATATATATATCTGTATCTTATCTAGGTTTTCCTCTGTTATGGCCACCACTGATGCCCTTTTTCCTCACAGTCCCTCTGCGCTTACTGCGTTTTTATTTCACCATCCTACTGTGTCTTAACGGCCACAGGAATAAAAAATATGAAGCGCACAATTACTGAATATGGGAATAAAACAGAAGACAGGAAAAGTCCAAATGAGATGCTTACAAATCTGACAGCTTGCAATATGCAAAAGACTGACCAAGGGAATGACCACAGCTTGTCAGACCAAGGGTCTGTGCAAGCCAACATCCTGCCCCCAACAGCTACCAAGAGCAAGGATCAGGGAAAAACCATACCAACATGGCAATTACACATTATGCCTTCCCCAGCTAAGCTTTCCAGCTGTTTACAGCTCAGTAGTTATGTATCAATGATTCCTACTGTTGGAATTGTTGTAAATACTTAAAAGGAAAGCTACGCTTAGGTCATAACCAGCTATGGGACTCAAAAGCTGTACACCATTTGTTGTATGGTTTTATTTGTTTTTAAGTATTAAAAATAATTAGAAGGTGAAAAAAGCTGTAAATTGGAGCTGGGAACCAGTGAACAACAACTGCAGTAAACACTTACATTTGTCTTCTTTAAATCTTGGGTTTAATGTATAAACCTTCATCTGTATGGATGTAAATTTAGGTATCTAAGCCAAGAACCTAAATCAACTTAAAGCAAGCTGTGAACTCCTTTATTTCCCTTAGATATTGGCATCACAAGGAAGAGGAGATGAGCATAAAGTTATACAAATGGCTTCAGGCTCTGAAAAAGTATTAAAAACCTGGAGCTAAAGGGAGTGTCTGCCTACTGGGATGGCCTTTGGAGCATGTTCTAGACATTTATGTTGTTTTCTCAATAGAATGATGGTAGCAAGACCAATGTAAACTCAACAAACACAAAGACACCCAATTCCCAGCGATAATATTTTCCCTAATACAAGTGCTTCATTTCCGGCTTCAGAAATCCAGCTCTCAGTGGTGACCAAAAAGAAACTGAAAACTAAAATTCATAATTCCCCTGGAATCTATTAAGAAATCACTCAACATAAGTATGGTTTTTACAGTTCATCTCCACACAGATTGTTCAGATTAAGTCACCACAAGTAGAAGACATAACAATTAATAAAATTAATGTAAGTATTTTGGTCAACTTGTTGAAAAGCAGCATTTTTTCCAAGTAAAGCACACTTATTTCTTTTCCCTAAGACAGCAGCAGACAGCTACTTGACAAAGGATTGTACAAAGCATAGAAAATGCTCAGTAGCTTGCTGTGATGAATGCTGAGACCCAGAAAATTTGAACCTAAAAGAGCCCCTTTTCTCATTCTTTAAAAAATCTATTCAAACACTTCCCTTATGATTTCTCATATCCTTTAACTGCTTGTCCAAAGATATCCAGTATCACATAATAGTACATGCAAAATATATCCAGCAGCACACAACAGCATATGCAAACCAATTCCACTTCCAAGCTGTACATTCAGCCTTGCAAGACTACCAATTTAGATCCAAGGCAATTCTTTCCATGTGATACACAACACTCATTCTGGTAGTTTCTTTCTAAATTAAGTTAAAAATTTGATGGCTACTCATTTTATGAGGTGAAGTACCCCTGTACTCAAGCCTACACAATGGCCAAGGGAAAACACAACTCTACATTCTGTGAGAGGGAAGATGCATAGGCAGAGGGAAGTAGATTTCATCTGGGTTCACGGGCACATAATCACAATAAAAAGCACCAAATGTCACAGTAGAGTCAATCTACAGAGGTGTGCCACTGTACACCCATTACACTTAGCCATTTATTTTTGGACTTGCTGAATACCAGCACAGATACTGGTCCATTTGAGAGTCAGTGACACGGAAGGCAACAGAAAAGCCTAAAAACATGGTTGGGAAAATAAGACAAGAAAACTTAACTACACAGAATAGTCTTTAAGTAGGAGTAACAGTTAAATAAGGACCTTATTGCATAAGAGAAATTTATGCTCACGTTACTCTTATACTTTCACTTGCCTGATAGACTCCTACGAGCCGTAACATTTATCTACACAAGGAATCTAAATCAGGCTTTAAAAAGTTGTGAAGACATTTCTATTTTGTTTGAAAAAAAAAATCACATTTTTTTGTTTCCTGACAACCAAGGCAAAAAATAAGCCTTCTACCACAAAACACAGTGGGTAAAATTGCATTTGGTAAGAAGCAAAAATGGATGGGGAAGTTTTATTTCAGCTTCACTTGCCACAAGGAGGAGGGAAGACCTGGGAAAACTGAGGCACTGTATCTGTAGTGGAAAAATATGATGGCTGAGTGGGTGTCTTCAACAGAGCAATTTCAAATATTTTAAAGGACAAATGTGTAAACAATGCTAAATTTGGGGGACAGAGATGCAGACAATTTCATGTTCATCTTGATCTTGCAGTTCAGGAGCTGGTTAGCCATGTATTTTGGGATTCTCAAGCTTCCAAGAATTTCAAGCACAACCAATCTGACACTGAGTACCACCCCTAGCTAGCTAAGAAAGTAAGCTGGCTTAACCATATCATCTTTGTAAATAAAAGCAATGTTTTTTCAATCATTTTTATCATTTGGAATTTATGATTCGTGATTTTTAAAAAATAAGTGATGTTGTTTTCCTAATAACTTGTCTTTGTTAATTTAGCAAGTCTCTAGTCATGTCTGAGCTCTGATGTACAAGAAGAACCAGGGCCTGCAACCTATATAAAGAAAAAAGATGCAAGCTGAGAGGGAAAGAGACAGGTAACCTCCCCAAAGTTACACACCAGCTAAGTGCTAATACTACAGATTGATTTCCCATCTTTTTTCAACCTTGCTCAATGTCCTATGCCCATACAAGACATGCTGCCCCTATGAATTTTTAAAAGGGCACACTCACAAGATGACAGAGGAAAGCAGATTAAATATAATTGGTAAGGACTTTCCTGAAAGCCTCTTGAGGATTTCCACTTTTTTAGAAGACAGCACTTAGAAAGAACACAAAACATTCTCAACACTAAAGCATCTTACTCAGACATTTGTCTCAAAGCCTGAATCTTCTTTAATACAAAATTTCTTGTTCCTTAGTACAATCCCCTTAGCTACTTCTGATTTATCCTTTATAATGCCTCTTCTGTTTTAGGTGCCACTATCCATTTCCCCTTCTCAGAATCCCAAACTGCAACATTCTGCCAACATCAACATAACTGCATTTCTCCAAATAGAAAGCAAGTCACCAGACATTAACACATGACCAAAACTTCCTCCAGTCTTTAGCCACCATTACATAGAACCTGACAGCAATAAAGCAGCAGCAACTTTTCCCCACACTACTTCTAAATGTTGTGACAGTCATATCTCTATATCTAGTCTGTAATGCACTAAGGCTACAGTTATTTATTACTGAGTGGAGAGAGGATGCAAGTTTTTAAACCTATTGCCCATCCCCTCCAAAGAGTAAGTGAGCTTTGGTTCTTCTTGTACATCAGAGCTCAGAGATGATTAAAGACTTGCTAAATTAACAAAGACAAGTTATTAGGAAAGCAACATCATTTATTTCTTAAAAATCATGATTTATAAATTCCAAATGATAAAAATCATTGAAAAAACATTGCTTTTATTTGTAAAGATGCTATGGTTTAGACAGCTTACTCTTTCTTAGTTAGCCTTACCCAGTGAGATAATATTACTTAATCTGTGCTTTATGTGAAACAAACTTAATGTTTAGACACACATATGTTTCAGATATGCTTGGTTTCATCCACACTGTCCAGGAACTTGATGCTAGATGCTCAAATGCAATTTGCAGCTGAATAGCCAAGAACAGTTTAATATTACAAATTAGAATTATAATTCAAGTATTCTCTACTACTCAGGGATACATCAAGGAAAGCACTTTCTGGATACATACTGCAGCAGGGGTTTCATTTTTACACATACTTGAAAAATCACAAAGCCTTGTCAAAAAGGCAGAATAAGGAGTTCTGTATTTTAATCAGCATTGAAATTAGCCTTGTAAGCTTACCGAGCAAAATAGCCTTGTCGCCGCTCCTTCTTCTCCTCCTTGGTCTCCATTATTTACAGTGAAATGGGCAAGGTGAGCAGCCAAGCGTGATGCTCTTTTCCCCTCAGTACCTCATAACCAGGCAGAGTCTCCTGTATAGAACAGTTAAAAACAGGAAGTTCATAAATCAACAAGTCAGCAACACCTACAAAACCCAACAGGTTGTGGAAATACAACTGACCCAGTGACAAAGCAAAGTAAAACTTTAACCAGTGTTTGCTGTGAAGTGTCCATTTAGTATACAATGAGACAACTCAATAAAGGCACTCAGGCCAGTTTCTCAGCAGTGGAAGACATATTTTGCAAAGCAGGTAACCCAAAGAGCAACATCAAGTTTTAAAACCCTGGAAAGATTAAACTACTGTCAATTTATACCAAAACATCTTCCAGGTCTGCTGTGTTTCCTAGACAGACAGATCAAGAGAAGCTTTGGAAATATACAGTATGAACAGAATAACCAGTAAGACATACAATGCTTATTTGGAATTAAAATTTTAAATTACTAAAAATACTATGAGATTGTGAGAGATCTGAAAGTTCTAAAAACAATGTAAAAGAAAAAAGAATTATCTACATTCTGTACAAGGTTTGACTTTGTATTTGTGACCAATATATTTTTCCGGCTCAAACTCAAACAACCATACAGAGAGAAACAAGACAGACCTCTGGCTCTCCCAATGAAGTGTAATCACCTTGAAATAGGCAGAACTAGGGAAGGTTATCTAGGTTATCTGAGAAGTTAAAAAAAAAGAGACCAGTAGCACTGGTTTTTGACATGAAAATCACCACTCTTGGCAGAATGCTGTACCAAGGCCCTTGGAAAACAGAAGCTGAGATTTTCCAAACTGCTTTATAATTACTATAATTACTGTAATTAACAACATGCCACATAAACTGCTGTCCAAGATCCCTGCCCAGATGTTTTATCATTTTCCTCCCCTCAACATACGTTTAACCTATCCTGATGGTTTATGCACAGGCATGAAGTAAATTAATTTTGGAGTTTATCAGTATTTCAGAATAAACTCAAGCCCAAAGTTACTACTAAACATTTTAGTCTAATGGGCTGTATAACAAAGAGATGGAAGCCACATAAATTATGATTCATAGCAAAAGAAGGAAAAAATCCTCTGGGACCTAATCAGTTTCCATTATTTTCCCCTGCATTAAAAGATCACAAGCTACAAACTGCCAGATGTCAACAAAAGAGATGATGCAGCAAAGACAGACTAATCTACATGAAAAGCCCAAGAACAAATCATGCTAGAAATACTTGCCACAATTTTCTTTCCTTATTGATGGATGATTAGTCCATAGCATATGAAGCCCATTGCTTCAAAATGCACTTTTTCTAACTCATTAGTTTTGAATTCATCCAGTGCATCAGAAAGAATCAAATTGCTCTCATTTTCACACATCAGGTAGTCTTACAGTAATGGGTACTCTTTATATGGCAAATATCTGACATCTTTAGCTTTATGAAGAGAATACTATTTTACCTCTGCAAGGTAACACATGATGCAGGACACAGCTGGACACCAACACCTACATGACAGAAGCATAACAGCAGCATTAGAACAAACTGGCCTGCTCAGATGTTCAGTCTATATTAAGACACCATACACCTCCTGAGAATTCTGATGCATCTCTACCTTCCCTGTAGGGGAAGGTTCTTAGATCTTCAGAAGGTCAGAACTGGTGGCTTTATCAGCACTGCCTTTAGAGTTACAATAAGTCTTTCAAAGTGTACAACTACAATCTCTACAGTGAATTACAAAAAGAGTTCAAAGAAAGAGGAACCACTTTCCCCCTTCACCTGCTTTGCCTTCACTACACTGTGATGTGCCACGAGGGCACTGACAGGCCAGAGCTGAGCCTCACACTGACACCAAGAACTACCAAATAACCCCAAAGCATCAATATAGTGTTGAACCCATCACCACAAGGACAGCAGGACCCATGGGAATGGGAAGAGGTAAGAGTCCTTCACCTCACTGAAACAAGATCAGCTGGATGAACAGAGGCAAGAGAGACCAGTCCTCACTGCCTAATCCCATGCAAGGGTCAGTGGCATGCTCTTTCCACTCTCTCTCTTCCTCTCCCACAATCTGACATCCCCAGCCAGGGAAGTAACTGCCCAGCTCCAGGATGGCAGACAAAGAGAGCACTATTGTCCAGGGAGCCAGGAGGAGAAACCCCTGCCTGCCCACAGCCCTGTCAGGCCCACTGCCAGAGCAGCCACCCCCTGCTTAGCAAAAAGGGGCACAAAAAAGGAGAGAGGAGGTTAAGCCTGGATCTAAACACGAATGTTGCAGAAGGTGCCAGCACCAAACCAGCGAGGCACTGCTCAGCTCCCCACGTGTGAGGTTTGCTGTTTGCTTTCATCAGTGCCAAACAAAGCCAGCAATGCCAGCATGGGCATGGAGCCTGTTCTTCTCACATCAAATAAATCCAGCTCCAAGTCCTTTCACATGGTGAGGAGGAATACATCAAGAACTAAAAAAAATTAAATAATTGTATGCATAACAGATGGGCACTCAGAAAAATTGGTATGTTATCCACAGACCAGGCACAGCAAAGGCATTCAGGCAATTTTCTATTTTCTTTCGCTAATAGAAATATACAGCAATACGACATCCAGTCACCAATTAAATTAAATTTTCATAATAGCATAATTCAATGTCAGATCCCACTCTACTGACCTAAAACTTACTTAGTTTACCTTCTCAGAAGAAACAGCAGTGTTGTTCCAGAAAGGCATATTAAAGTCTGAAAATCGTACTTAGAAAACATAGTACTAGAAATAGCAAAATTATTAAGAATGCTGACTTCTTAACTTCTGAGTTTACTTGTGTTGTTGGGAATCTTGCACTAGTTGCCTTAAGGGACAAAAAAGAGAAAATCTGACAGCTAGGAGGAACACAGCACAGCCTGCAGTAATTGCTACAGAAAATTAGTATTTAGTATTTCTGAGAAGTCCTTTTCAATTTTAGGTTTTTAAGCAGTAACAGCAAAAAAATGTGACAAAAATGTGACAAAAGTCACATTTACTTTATAGGATGTCAATGACAATTTAAAATGACATCAAAAAAGGCAAACCTACTCCACAGTTCTCCCCTATTTGTCCTTTGATATTTTACAAAAAAAAAAAATCCAAGGTATTCTTTATCACCTGCTTAAAATGTTATTAAGGCTATATGATTAAAATGCATCTTGGTTTCCTGGCAGCTCCTTTCTGGTACAGATGAATATTGAATCAGCAGACTATTAGAAACACACATATTTGGGGGATATTTATATGCTGAGAAACAGACAACTTACTCATACATCATGAATTCAGTCCAAACTCAAAGGATGACAAAGCTGATTTTATATAAATTTCAGGCTCAGTTTAACCTTTTCTACACACTGAAACAGCAGCAGACCGTGAAAAGCTTCTATTTCATGTCCACAGCAGTGCTAATTCTTTAATTAGGCATTTTCAAGGCAAACTAAACAGTGCATTTCAGTAAGGAGCCTGCTAAAAATTTGCCACTCTCCAAATCTAGCCAGTGTCAGCACCTGATAATTATATAAAGAAAAGAACACAATACGTAAACATACACTATTCTTTCTTAATTTAGCCCTACTGCTCTGGACATTTTAGTTTATATTTACTCATTTCTGGATATTTGCTTTGTCTATCTAGTGTTGCTGCCAGGGAGTTCTGGGGAGGTTACTGAAAATTTGTAATTATAATGGGAATGCTCCAAGGCAAAAAAAAAAAAAAATTAATTAAATGTTATAATCACAGAACAGACTGAACTCCCGATCATGGATATCCACACCACTTCTACTGTCACCACAGTCTCAAGACCTCCAGAACCTGCTTCCAATGTCCTGCTGTCCTCCCTGCAACCGGGCACTGCAGGACAGCAGGACATTCAAAGTAACAGCAGAAGATGCTCTAAGCGCAGGGACAAAAAAAATGGGAACAGAAGATTAAAAATAACTTAGTGTGTGAATAGAGCACCCTTAAAAGACTGATAAATTTACCAATTTTTCAAAATTATTTTTTCTCCCTTTTCCTTCCCTTCTCATGCATGAAGAATAATATACCCTGCTACTTGCAGTTTAAGTGGTTCACATTTTCATGAAACAAGAAAAAGTCCTGCTTGCTGTGCTCAGGAGTAAGCACACAGAAATTCTGTCTGCTGGTCCTAAAGCATCAACAAACAATCCTTTAGTTGTGGACATTACTTTCCAAAACTGTGCATGTGAGCAACAGTACATCCAACAGCACAGCAATGCAGAAGCCAATGAAGCATCTGATTATTTTTAGAACATTCAGTGGACTTCATAGCTTTTCTCTGGCCATCTGTGCCCACTCCCAGTCCTGGAAAAACATACAGAGAAAAAGAAACATTCAAGATCATGCAATTCTCTAGACATATTTTCATGATCCTGTAGAGTCAATATCTCTCAACCTCTCATGAAGTAGGAAAATTATGTAATTCCCTGCTTTGCAAACGGGGAGCTGAACTGAACACATTCAAATGAGGAAAAGCAATGTGTGCAAGTATCCTCCCAGTAGCTTTAATCCAGCCTTAACAATGAGAACATGGGAGGAGATTACTTTGACAAGGAGATGGTTATTATTTTCTGTGAAATTTAAACTGACTGACTTTGGAAACCAACAGCACAGTCTCAATTTTATCTGGCTTTGTGGTCATATACATTAAGAATCATAGCTCACATCCACAAAATAAAATAAAAAGCCTGGATCTGAGGATCCAGGCTCACTCAGCCCGGTCAGCAAGGAGTAAGTATGTAAAAAAGCAATTAACTGACTTCAGGAAAACCTAGTCAAGGGTAGCGTATTCCATAACTTAGCAGGACCCCCATAATGCAAGAGACAGTGGCAACAGTCACACTGTGAACAACAAACAGGGAAGGTCTACACACAGATTTTCCAGTTCGGAAGGCAGAGCAGATGAAGGTACAAGACTCCCAGTGAGACAGCCAAGCAGACGTGGCCACAGCAAGGATGCAACAGGGAGACCCCGCTGTGCTGAGGGAGCAGGATGCTGCCCAGACACACCACGTAGCTCTC